AAAAACTGTAAACGTATATATTTGTATTTAGTAAGGAAGCTATTTTGAAACATGATATACATGACACACGTGCACTATATGACTATATTCAACAGGTTCTATATATCACAGGGTCTACCCTCAGGTTCTGGGTTTTAAATCTTTTCCTTTTTATTATTTATTTATTTGTTTGGCACAGGTTCTCACCTCGAAGCTCAGATCACATAGTGATTTTCCTGTCCCCCCCCCCCACCGCTGGGATTACAGGTATGTGTCACCATGCCCAGATTCTGTGGCCGGCTCGGGGCAGCATGTGGCACCGGGGATGGAACCCAGGTCCTTGCGCTTGCCAGGCAGGCGCTTAGACCGTCGAGCTATCTCCCCAGCCCCTGGGTTTTAAATCTGACTGGCTCTTGCCCCTTAACACTGTTTCGGAGCCCCACACAGCAGTGTCTTCCCGAAAACCCAAAATGTCAGTGGCCAGTAAGCCCTACTGCTGGAACCTGACTGGCACAGATCCGACCCGAGGCAGGAACCTGAGAGGAGGAATAAGAGAAGCAGAGCTGAGGGACCAAGCACTGAGAGGAAGACTTGAGGGCCGGAACCCGGGGATGAGGATCTGAGGGACCCCAGGAGGGTCCTGAGGGGAAAACCTGAGGTGGGAAACACCAGGGGGGCCCTACAGGAGGAGGAGGAGTTCCGGGGGTGGGGGGAGCCTGGCTGGGGCCTGAGGAGGGCGAGGCGAGGGGGGACATTATCCGCAGGAACCCGAGAGGCCCAGGGCCACGCGCTAGCTAGCCGGGGAGTTCTCAGGGAACAAGCCGGCTTCCCACAGCGCCGCCGCAGCCTGAAACCTCAGCCCTGAGAAATGAAGCGAGGCCCGTGCCGCCGCTCACCAGATGAGGCCCAGCTGGCTGTTCTTCTGGCCGGTCCTGGAGTCTCCCGCTTTCCGCGGCTTCTCCACACAGCGCTCGGAGAGCAGCTGCCCGGAGCCCACTTGACAGAGCGCGCGACCGTTAGCGCGAGGCCCCGCCCAGCCCCGTGCAGACCCCGCGCCGAGCTCCCACCAAGGCCACGCCCACCCCGAGTTCGCCACGCCCATAAGGTGCTGACCACGCCCCTGTCTTTTTATTCTACTGAGCCATCTCCCTGGCCCCAAGAATCTCTCTCTACGATGTTCAATAATAACGCACTTGATTCTAAGCAAACATTAAATTATCTTAATTAAATTAATCTCAAATTAAAGAGGACAGCGTACCACAAGAAGCGAGAAAGAGCGTTCACAGGGCCATGGAAAAGAGCCCACAGACCTGACTGGTCACTTAGTGAGGCGGGGGAGGGCGGCGGCTGTAGGTAAAGGATTCCTTTGGTGGCACTGAATGCTTCCTAAACCATGGGCCTGCATGGATAGTGTTATG